CGGACCGCCGCCGATCACGTCGGACCGCCCGGGCGGTGCGGTTGCCGTCGTCGATCCGGGTGACTTTAACGCTGCAGCCCGCTGTACCGCGTAAACCTTTCCGGACGAACGTCGTGGCACGTCAACATTAATAGTACTACGCAGCGGCGGCCGTCGATTTGTGTTCACAATATTATTTTAACGTACATAACACGCACGCGCGCACACACGGCACTTGTACACATCGAATTTGACAGGTCCGGTCCAATTAAAATAGTTCATACTCGAAGGAGAAAAAAAAAACGTTACAGCTCATAACATATTTGATTCATTGTTGTACCGTACACACACGCGTGCATGTATAATAGCGGTCGTGTCGTTGAAATCCTTCGCGGACCCGTTCGCGTAAGTTACACGTGTATAATATACTTCTATGCGCGTACACGTTTGCACGAACGACGACGTGAGGTGATTTTCCTATCTCTTTCCGATTCGTAGAACGACGTGATATCACTATAACTTTGAATCGGCAGCCACACGTAGATATATCTTATTTGTAGATCGATCGATCTGTTTTTATCGATACCATGGCCGCGACGTCGGTACCGTTGACTTTTATTGCTTTTCTACACACACACACATACACATGTAAATAATGTATATAAAATGTTTATATAAAGTGGTCTACATGTAGTAATACTGAAACAACAACAACAACAGTAATAATAATAATAACATAATATCAACTTTAATTGACAATACGATGGCGAATAAAATCGGATACGAATCCAACACTGTTAAGAGGTAAGACATTTGTTGAGTTTCGTCGGAGTCAATCTCGACAAAGCAGTTTGTGTAATACATATATATTGAAGTCTATATATATATATATATACATAAACGACAGTCCAGGTACCTTTGTATAATATAACATATAGGGTATAAATTATTCACTTATTTTTTTTTTTTTTTACCGTTTTTTGAGACGTTTGTCGTCTGCAGTTTCTACACGTGTGTTTACTTATAGAAATATGTATCCAGTCGGTTGACTGTACTGAAACTATCGCTCCCCGACACATGGGATTTCTAAGGGCATTGCCTCTGGTTAATTTTCGGGTAAATGCCTATTGAAACCCCAAGGTTCGAGGAGCGGGTTGATTATAAGTGCTGTGCGTTGTCAATCTGTGTTCGCCATGCACTTTGTTATGGTATACCTAGAACGTAGCACAACTATACAATGACGATTAATGATATAAAAAGATTTACATACAGGGACCGCGGTAACGATCAGTAGATTTTAGATCAATGCAAAAGTGTGTTGTGGAAAAAATTCGACTACACGTGATATATATATATATATATATATATATATATATATGTTACGGCTAGTGTCCAAAAGATGTAGTGAAATGAAGTAAAATGTTTGCAATAATATCAATTTTACATTGTAAATTTCCCATTTGTGTGTATTTTGATATTATTTTAAAATTTATATTGATTCCAATTAGTGATGGGCAGGAACGACTATTTGATACTACCGACTATTAGTCGGTTTTCATCACGTACAACCGACTAATTATTCGACTAAAATGTTTAAAACCAACTAACAAAAATAAATGAAATTAGTTGACTAATAACTATTCGACTAAAATTAGGAACTGATAATTCGGTAATTCTGAGAAATTGTAGTCGTATTTTTATTTTAAACTAGTTAAAAGAAAAATACCAAAAATAACACTTACATAATACACTACAAATATAAAATATATTTAATACCCAAAATTCATTTAAAACAGTTGTAAATTTTAATTTACGAGGTCTGTTCAAAAAGTTCCCGAATTTTTCAATTTTTTATTTATGGTGCTTACTTACAAGCTATTGAGACTTATCACCCTCGAAGTATTCTCCCTCTTGGTTAATACACTTTTGCCAACGACGTTTCCATTGTTGAAAGCAATCCTGGAAAGCGGTTTCTGGAATTGCTCGTAACTCCGTTAGCGAATTTTCTTTTATTTCGTCTATCGTAGAAAATCTTTGTCCTTTTAACGGATATTTTAATTTTGGAAATAAAAAAAAGTCTGCTGGTGCTAATTCGGGAGAATATGGTGGATGAGGAAGTACGGTCATGTGATTTTTCACGCAAAAATCACGAATTAACAGGGAAGTGTGCGCCGGAGCATTGTCGTGATGAAGAAACCATGAGTTTTTTTTCCACACTTCAGGCCTTTTCCTCCGCACTTTTTCTCGAAGACGTTTTAATACTTCTAGATAGTACCATCGGTTAACAGTTTGTCCTGCAGGTAGAAATTCGTGATGAATAACTCCCAGATTGTCGAAAAAAACTGTTAGCATGACTTTGACGTTTGATCTGACCTGACGAGCTTTTTTTGGTCTTGGAGAAAATTTACCAACCCACTGTGATGATTGGACTTTTGTCTCAACATCATAGCCATAGACCCATGTCTCATCACCCGTTATAATTTGCTTCATGAACATGTCATCATCGTTAGCGCGATCTAACAATTCTTGACAGATTGTTACGCGGTTGTCTTTTTGATCTTGCGACATCAACCGAGAGACAAATTTTGCTGCAACGCGGTGCATTCCAAGTTTTTCGACCAGGATTTCATGACATGAACCAACCGATATGTTACAATCTTCCGCGATTTCTCGAATAGTTAAACGTCTATTAGACCGCACAATTTCATTGACTTTTGTCACATGAGCATCGTCTGTCGATGTCGACGGACGTCCTGAACGTGGGTCGTCATCAACTGATTCCCGACCGTCTTTAAAGCATTTAAACCAGTCGTAACACTGTGTACGTCCTAAACACTGATCACCATAAGCATTTTGCAATATTTTGTGAGTCTCAGTAAAAGATTTACAAAGTTTAACACAAAATTTAATATTAATACGTTGTTCGTGAAAATTACTCATCTTAAAAATCGCACAATACACACGACTCGTCTACTTTGAACGCGCACAGTTAATGATTCGATAGCAATAAACATTTGAGATTTAATGGAAAAGATAGCTGCTTATCTGTATTTTATTTTGATATAATAACATTTACAATAATGTAATTTTTCTATTTTTAGAAACGATAGTTCGGGAACTTTTTGAACAGACCTCGTATATTGCTCTGAAGTAATGTTTAAGTTTTTTGTTATATTATTATGTTGAATAAAATAATTCTGCTAAAAGCTTTCAATCAGTCCCATAAAAACGAGTTGAATAAAAATTATAAATCAAATTATAAAAATTAAAAATAAGTAAAATAATAACAATATAAGTTAAATATAAAAATTAGTCGAAAATAATAATAACTAGTCGAATAATAAAAATTAGTCGAAAAATAATAATAACTAGTCGAATAGTAAAAATAAGTCGAATAATAAAAATGTTCGAGTAACTAAATTAGTCATTTGATATTACCGACTAAGTCGGTAGTTAATAGTTACTTTTGCCCATCACTAATTCCAATATTCATCTGCATTCGGTTGCATTTCACTGTGCCCTCAATAAGGACCGTCTATAATCATCTCTTGACTAGTAAAGTTTGGTTAAAGCAGTTAAGATACCAGCTTTTAGTACTTAATTTAAAATATCTTATTTTACTGATTTATTATTAAATGCGTTTAGAATGGATGCACATATTTATAGAAATTTTATTATTATACTGCGGTTTTTCAACTTTATATGTATTTCGTCCGTCTGTTTAAAATCGTACGTTGTCTACTCGCCGTTTGTGATCTTAATATATCACACGTAAATTTTAAAAATGAACTTCGAAATTAAATTTTAGTTTAAAAATCATTAACGAAATTGAAAAACTATCTATTCGAATCCCAGTCTCGGAACTTACGAGATGGTGTCTGAGACGTTCAGTAAAGGTTTGCTACAATGTTTTGTTCACAACCAAAGACAAATACATGAAAAGAATTTCATTTGGCTTCGAAAAACATGCGTATTGCAGATCATAACGGGATTGTTGTAGGTAGTTCAAGACCAAGTCAATAAATATATTGTTTTGCATGAAGTTTGCGCGCGTGTACGTCACGTTTGACAGATGGCTACCTGCAGCGCGAATACCATTTATACTATAACACAGCTCGGTCGAGTCGAACAACCGTAACTACTAAGTGACAATGGGCACGCGATACATTCGTTCCTGCAAGAATAAGTACATATTATTATTATTATTATCAGTTTTAATAGTTACGACCACGTGTGCGGTTGTAATGTCGACAACTTTGCTCGCGTGAACACTTCACACAGATCCGCCTTGTAACGGAAACACAATATTTTATGAACACATAATTATTACACAGTTTCGACGTTTTTCCTAATACGGCGATATGATATATTGCTACACATCGTATCCGTTCTTCATGCAACAGTCCTGGTTTGATCCTTTTTGATGAATAAATACTGTATTCACACCATCCTTATGGCATTCATTCTTCCCGAGTTGTTGATTTGATCTTACGCTATACGTAGTCACCGTCATATACTCGTATAGCGTCGAATCCTCTTCCAACAAATACTCTTATGCATCATTATCATAGTCATATTATTACTATAATGCGTTTGTTTTGAAAAATATTGATATTTAAGTTATACATATGATTTGTTTAGTCAGATGATATTGTTATGGTTTTTGATGCACGGTTACAGTTAAATTTAAAATAATAATAATTAAACATCATATTACAATCACAAAATAAAATATTGATTAGTTCGGTGTTAGTAGTATATCATTAAAAACATACGGATATATTACAATATATAAATTAAAACTATAAGTACATATTATTATTTTTTAACATATAAACGAAGATTTTAATAATTATAAAAATAATTTAATGAAAACCAAGTGGAGCTGAAACGGAAAAAACATTTAACGCTCAAATTTAGAATTTCAATACTTGGAACAAACTTAAATCCAAAAATACTATAAGCAAAAATTAAATAATTAAAATTTGTATTAAATATAATTTTATTGAAATAACGACGATATCACCAAACATCTTTTTTTATTCTTTTTTCCTGTATTAAGGGTAAGGGAAATGTCTTTATTAATTAACTTTTAGTAAGTATATAGTTTTACTGGATTTTATTTGATCGCAACCCCCTTTTACATATGTAATTTATATATTACCATAATAATCGGAGGGTCTAATGATAATAGTGAATTCGTTTGAATTGGTTTTTATTCATGAAAAAATGGCATTGTATTTCATGTTATTTATTCATTATGGGATGTTTTGCACCCTTCCCCATGAAAATTGTATTTAATAGTGCGCCACTAGTAAACGGTTGCATCTCAATGGCCAATGGTGATTCGTGTACGTATATGTATAATACATAAATATTCGTAATTCGAGGGTTAATTTCGATTGAAAAAAAAGGGTTCATACATCCGCCATTATTGACGAACGTTGACGTATTCGTTGACCAACCACCCTGTGACGGATGCACAATCGATGTACCCCCAGTGTATATACCAATCGATCAATCAAATTATTTTCCCGAGCTATATGTATGGTGTTACAGCAGTGCGTTTTGAAGTGATACAAACCATAAGTTTACGAGGAGCATCATTACAATGTAATATGTATTGTTGTGGATTGAAATATGGCGCGGGGATGATTAAAGGCAACGGTAAGCAAATCGAACTGGAGAACATGTCTAACAGTGTGGAATCACAGTATCGGGAGATAGATCGACCCAGATTTAAAACTAAAAGGGTGTACAAAGCTCTAAGACGAAAAAAATGTTTCGGACATTGGTCGAGTACCTTAATATAACGAAGAGTTGATATAACTGATACGTCTGTTGGACTAATATAATTAAATCGACTAAGCACATGGGAATCGGGCCATAACATACTGTGTGGCATACGTGTTTCGAATCGATCGTCAAAGATATACACGCGTACTTGTCGTGGCGATAATTACGCTTTCCGATTGTCCACCAGAGGCGGATTGCCACAATAAGAAATCTGGAAATTGTCCGATATACCGGTCGGTCTTCATATGTGGACCACTCACTTTATATTTTGAATGCAATTTTTTGACGAAAAAAAAAATATAGATTATTGTGGGCTGCTTTGATAATATTTTCCGAGCCAAAAAACTACAAGCCACGTTTGTTTACCATCGAGCCACCGAGGATTTCCGAAAAAAAAAACTTTCTAGACATCGTGACGCTGTCTTGTGTAATCCATTTCGAAACGATTAACAATGTAAATAATATAAAATGAAAGCAATATATTATTATTATCAAAACACACGTCCGTGTGTGTACTACGCCGACTTTGTGGCCGAAGGGCTTGCTGGTATTTGGGACTTAGCAGGCCAGTAGGACTGTGTTATTTAATATGTGTCGACCACCGTTGGTCCACTAAATCCCTAACACCAAAACAAGCATTATCGTAGTCGCGGCTGAACTCAATTGCCCTGTGCTGCATCGACTGCTGTGCCGTGTTGATGCTCTGTTTAGGAAATTTATCATACCTGGAAAAAAAATAATATATTAATAATGTAAATAAAACGACGAGATGTTGGCAATAATTATTAGTTAGTGATTTTAGAGTTCTTAGTGTTGGAAATTATGTTTACGAGCTTGGAACATAAAGTTTTATACTTCAAAGTTCTTCAAATTTACTGAAGATATTATAGTAATCGACGCTTTTTCTTATATTTTCAATACATTTTTGTATAATTTTTTTACTTTATTGCAATTAAATCGACCTACATTAATATTTTTAATTTGCGAATAATGACATTTTTATAATTTATATTGCTATAAATAGCATTTAACAACCTTAAATATTATACATTTGATACATAAATATTGCAGTGATGAGAAGTTTTTTTTAAACGAAGAATATTTCACTGATTTCACAACAATATAATTTTATTAGCTTCGTAATTCATTATTATTATTATACTATTTAATTATTTAATTATTATTCATTATTTCTTCTACATGAATTATATACAAAACACTGCTACACTTATTCGAGTTTCGATTTAAATACCATTCAGGGGTATAAAGTCTTTGTAATTATTAGTGATACCTATTATTATTGTTAATATTATGATTATTATAATTAGTTGTACTGTAGTAAGTTGCACTTCATAACGGACGGTGTTTTATGACCGACGACTGTATTATAATTATCATCGCGCTGTGGACGCGAGGGCCTAGTACAATTTGTCATCGATCAACATACAATCATTTGTTTCTGCTCAGCTCATGGAAATACGATATATATATATTCGGTATTATATTATTTTTATAAGATCCATGAAATAATAAATATCACAGCTGCAATGTGCTGCAGTAGTATGAGAACAGCGTTTTTTTACTTCAATAAGAAACGTGTTCGTTAGACATTTTAAATACGCTTGTGTACGCCATTACATACGAACACACACGGAAAGATATATATATATAAATATTTATCTTCAGTGTAATAATTATATCGAATATATATAATAATATGTACATATATTACATATTATGTTGCGCTCGGACGCGTTTAAAACAATCCGGTAAAATTTGTTCCCAGCTATATAATACGCGTAAACGAGTCTAAAACGCGACGAGATTACACACGACGAGACGAGTCGTAGCATGGTTTGTACGACGAAAAATTATCTTGTGAGTACGCTTTGTAAATATATTATTACCAGCCGAACTACCCGGCTTCGCACGGAACAGTCTTGGCCGGGACATAATTTTTAATGCATTATTACCTTACACTATTTTTAGCCTAGTATGGTGTAACTGTTGATCATAATAGTAAAACAAATCTCAAATGAATCGATATGGTAGTTTTGGTTGTTCGCAAAATTACCCGATTTTTACATCATGGAACCGTATTTTCCTATGCCAATATAATTTAAAATCCCTTCTCAATGTACAATGCACGTCTAGAGTATTGAAGAGACCGCTATGTTAAATTTTAAGTTTATAATTGTTGACGTTTTTGGGATGTAACGTAAAAATCCTTTTTTTGTGAGGTCTCTACATCATAAAACTAAACTGCTCACCAAATTTTATAGTCATAAAATTGACGTTTCCGGCTAGGTAATTTTTTCATATTTACCTCTTTTCGTTTGTACACTTTTTTACCACCTAAGTTTTATAAAATCCTTTATTTTTGTACGTCAAAAGCGCTAATGGAAACACTATGTCAAAGTTTAAATTCATACGATTTGTTGATATTGAGATGTAGTGATGATCAGTAAGTGGTATTTTATACATACAAATTGTATTTCTCGCGTTGAATAAAAAGCGGATTGACTGTTCATTTTTTATTTTTCAGGTTCGTATAAACTAGTTATAGTGGAAAATGTTCACGAAATATTATTATAATCCGTAAGTAATAATATAATATTGCATACAGTTTTAAATACTTTAAAAGATTTAAATAAGATAATAAGCTAATAATTTGTTATTCAATGATTTTTCTAAAGGTTACAGAAATTCAATCAAAGTTGTACTTAGATTTTACCTATGGATTTATTAATATAATGTATCGTTTATTTTTGTTGAATTTTTTTAAAACCAAGAAGAATTTTTTAGGCAATATTGACGTACGCTGTTTGAAATAATGTACCGGAAATCATTCCAAATAGTTTAATGTGGGGTTAAATGCAGGTTAAATCACTTCAAACACTAAACGCGATTATTCATTCGAATTATGCATGTAAAAACGATCAATATAAAAAATAAAAATAAAACACCGATCGTAAAGTACATAAAATAAATACGTGGGCGGGTACACATAACTTGTATAAATCTGTCTTCACACCGGCGTATGTTAAACAGCTTTGTAAGCGATCAGAAATCGGGCACGTTTCTTGTGGTGTGAAAATGTTATTATGGTAGTCGCAGTCTTATCCGATTTAAACTAAATTGTGAACCATCGAGCCCTTTTCCCATTCCGAGTAGCCCGAAGGTCTTAGTCTTTGACCGAAAGTCCGGCAATTATATTTACATAAAGTATGAACGTATTACTGTGTATGTGTATGTTCCGTTTACCGGTGAACTGTATATGCATGATTTTATACGTATGTTATCTTTTATGTGTACGTCATATTTATCGTATGTACGATGGTGTCGATCAAATTTACATTCGCAATAAAAATAGATACATGTATAATACTGCTCGACCATTTTAATTGCGAATACGAGATTTGATTTCATGATAAGAAAATAATATTATAGGTGAATATTATTACACGTATACACACACACACACACACACACACACACACACACACACACACACACACACACACAGATCACACTAATGTAACAATTTGATGTTGAAAACTTAAATTAACAGCAAATAACGCTGGTTGAAATAATATACATTTATTACAAGTTGTGAGTTGACGGTTGAGTACTTAAATCTATATATATTATAAGAAGTTTAATAGCTCTTAAATCGCACAGGTATATTAAGTGTAGTATACAGGTATCAGACCAATATATACTTTATCGTATACTTGCATACGTTGTAACATTGATAGTGATTAATATATAATATATGATTAATCGAAGGACTATTTATTTATTAATCGAAGGACTTATTTTCGAGCACATAGAGAACTTCAAGTACTTGGGAGTTAAAGTTAACATAAACGAAAAGAACAATATGCTCAATGAAATTAGAATGAGATTAAATGCGACAAACAAATGTTACTTCACAATGAAAGAAATATTTTCCTCCAAGTTACTGTCTAGACATACAAATGAACGCCTATAATGTACGTAATTAAGACCCATAGTAACGTCCGCATGCAAGACGTGGTCTGACACTCAAAGAGATGAAGAAAGGTAGCAGAGTTTCGAGAGGAAAGTAATCAGGAAAGTTTATGGACTGGTATATAATAATTACTTTTAAAGTTACCAAAGAAGATCAAATGAAAGATTGCAGATTCATTCGTATTTATAAATAGTGATGAATGAATCTTTAATTGAAAAATGTGCTTTTAACTTATAAGTGTCGTATTGATATTGTTCATTACAATAATTACTACTGGTTATTTTATAAAGACAAAATAACATTAATATAATGGTAAGCTTATAAATTAATAATAGTATTGTCTTCCTATACGAGTACCTACTTCAATAATATTTCTTATTTATCCAGTACATGATTCTTATAGTAATACACATCGGGATTGTTTATCTTTGCTGTATGATTTGATTGTAAGAAATTATTTTTATTAAATATTATATGCCTGTGTTTAGTTATCTATAATCTATAATAACAAGTCATGATAATTCGAATATAGTTTTTGTCTACATACATGTATTATTGGTATCGCCTCAATGTCATTGATTTCTCGAGAACATTTTCTAACTTAATTTATTACATTAGTTATAAACTATTTTATCCTAATATACTCGTATGTATTGTAATAATTTATTATAATAGTTTTTTTTTTTAAATTTTTTTTTAATAAGATCAATACAAATTATATGGAAATATTTACGATTACAAAGAGTAAATATGAAAAATATATCGTATATGATAAATAGGTATGATTTGCAATTTAAAAAATACATATTATACGGTTCAAATGAAAAATATAACAAGAACACGATCTCTATAATATAGAGTAACGCGAATGTATGTCGAAAGATTATTGTTAATATAAATATAAATATTATCGCGGTAAGAAAATATTGATTCGATGTTTTTGTACGCCGAATAACTGCTATGAAATGTAGTAGAATATTATGTTCCGTTTATAAAAGGGCGTCCATCCATTTTACGGATCATAACGGATTAACTACTAATTCTAGACGCTTTTCTACATATCAACTTCAAGTCGATATAGTTATTATTTCCGTCGTTCATAAATAATGTATGCTATTAAACAATATTAGTGTATTGAGTATTGTGTAACTATATTTGTACTAATATGCACACTTATATACCTAGTATGTATTTAGTAAATTTAATGAACGCGCGGCCGTTTATGAATATATATTTTCGCATGCGCACGTATTATGCAGATGTTTGGACAATTACGTACGTTATTCATACCGAACCGAAACGTTAAACGCGTATGATAATATTTTTAATAAATACGTATGTCTATTTTTAATTAAGGTAATCTTTTTTCGTTAATTATTTTTGAAAAATATTTGATAATTACTAACCAACGTCAAGCCGTAAAACGACGCGTTCTGATGCGAGTTATTTTAACCGACACGATTATAATAATTCGAGTAAATGCATATGGCGTTTTATATTTATACACACATATTATGTACATTATACATGAAGATTTTCATCAGACCATAAAATGGATTTTATGAAGAAGTAGAAATAAAAGTAGAGTAAATCACAATGAACGAAAGGTATTCCATGACAAGGTGTTAAGAACTTAAACTACTTCCACGTGATTTCGTTTAGTGTCTTATAAAATGTTGTTATTATTTGCATAAAGCTACGATTTAATTTATATAGAAAACTGAACAAATG